CAACTTCATAGGAAAATACAAAAAACCCAGGATAGCTAAAAGAATCTTGTACAATAAAGCAACCTCTGGAGGCATCATGATCCCTGACTTCAAACTTTACTATAGAGCTACAGTAATAAAAATAGCTTGGTACTGGCATAAAAACCAACATGTGGACCAATGGAATCAAATTGAAGACCCTGACATTAACCCACACATGTATGAACACCTAATTTTTGACAAAGAAGCCAAAACTGTACAATGGAAAAAAGAAAGCATCTTCAACAAATGGTGCTGGCATAACTGGATGTTAACATGTAGACTGCAAATAAATCCATATCTGTCACCATACACAAAACTTAAGTCCAAGTGGATCAAAGACATAAATCCATTTACTCTGAACCTGATAGAAGAGAAAGTGGGAAGTAGTCTTGAACACATTGGCACAGAAGACCACTTCCTAAATATAACACACCAGTAGCACAGACACTGAGAAGCTTTTGTAGGGCAAAGGACACGGTAAATAAGACAAAAAGACAGCCTACAGAATGGGAAAAGATCTTCACCAACACCACATCTGTCAGAGGGCTGATCTCTAGAATAAATAAAGAGCTGAAGAAACTAGACATAAAAATACCTAACAGTCCAATTAAAAAAAATGGGCTATAGAGCAAAACAGAGAATTCTCAACAGAAGAATCTCAAATGACAGAAAGACATTTAAGGAAATGCTCAACATCCTTAGTCATCAGGGAAATGCAAATCAAAGCAACTCTGAGATACCATCTTATATCTGTCAGAATAGCTAAGATCAAAAATACTGAAGACAGCTTATGTTGCAGAGGATGTGGAGCAAGGGAAACACTCCTCAACTGTTGGTGGGAATGCAAACTTGTACAGTCACTTTGGAAATCAATATGGTGGTTTCTCAGAAAATTGGGAATCAATCTTCCTCAAGACCCAGCTATATCACTCTTGGGCATATACCCAAGGAATGCTCAATCATACCACAAGGACACATGCTCAACTATGTTCATAGCAGCATTATTTGTAACAGCTAGAACTTGGAAACAACCTAGATGTCCCTCATCTGAAGAATGGATAAAGAACATGTGGTACATATACACAATGGAATACTACTCAGCAGAGAAAAACAATGACATCATGAGGTTTGCAGGCAAATGGATGGAACTAGAAAATATCATCCTGAGTGAGGTAACCCAGACTCAGAAGGACAAACACATAAGTGGATACTAGATGTAAAGCAAAGGATAATCAGACTACAACCCACAGCTCCAGGAAGGCTAGCAAGTAAGGAGGACCCTAGGAGGGATGCATGGATTGCCCAGTGATGGAGAAATGGATGAGATCTACATGAGAAAACTGGGGGTGAGGGAGGTAATGGAGGGCAAGGGAAAGGGGATGAGAGCTTAGGGGAATGGGAGGTTCGAGCTGGAATGGGAACAGAGTGGGAAAACAAGGAAAGAGATACCATGATAAATGAAGACACCATAGGAATAGGGAGAAACAGAGTGCTAGGGAGGTTCACAGGAATCCACAAGCATGACTCCACCACAGACTACCGGAAATAGTCGAGAGGGTGCCTAAGCTGACCTACTCTGCTGATTGGATGGCTGAATACCATAACTGTCATCATAGAGCCCTCATCCAGTGACTTATGTAAGCAGATCAGAGATCTATGACTGGGTCCCAAGCAGAGTTCCAGGAGTCCAATTGATGAGAGATAGGAGGGATTCTATGAGCAACAGATATCAATACCATGACTGTAAAAAGTAGAGACAACTAGCCAAACTAGTGGAAACACATGAACTGTGGACCAATAGCTGAGGAGCCCCTGTGGTACTGGGCTAGGCCCTCTGGATAAGCAAGACAGTTGTTGAGCTTGAACTGTATAGGGGGCTCCCAGGCAGTGGGATCGGGACCTGTCCCTAGTACATGAGCCAGCTTTTTGAAACCTAGTGCCTATGTGAGACACATTGCTCAGCCTTGGTGCAGGAAGGAGGGGCCTGGACCTTCCTTAACTGAATGTACCAGGCTGTGACTCCCCATGGGAGATCTTGCCTTGGAGGAGGTAGGAATGGGAGGTGGATTGGTGGGCAAGGCTGTGGGGTGGGAGGAGGAAGGACAGGGGAATCTGTGGTTGGTATGTACAAAATGAATAGAAAATCTCTTAATTAAAAAAAAAAAAAGGAGTTTAAAAAAAAAAAAGAAAAAAAAATCCCCAGGGCCAATACTTTAATCCCAGCACTTGGGAGACAGAGGCAGGTAGATCTCTGTGAGTTCGAGGCCAGCCTGGTCTACATAGAATTCCAGGACAGTCAAGGCTATGTAGAGACCCTGTCTCAAACAAACAAACAAAGAAATCCAAGAGACTGGAGGTCCATTAGCTGAGATCAAAAGAAAGAACTGAGCGGAGCTGTGTGGCCAAGTTCTTGAACTTCTCTGTGCTTTTCTGCACAGGCAAACAAAGTCAACAACAGTAACAATTACTACTTCTTGAGCAGTTATTTTATACCAAGTACTACTGTAAGTGCTTTCCACATAAAATGGGTCCTTTAATTCTCACAATCACCCTATGACAAAGCCAGAGTTATCATGCCATTTTCAGATAAGGAAACTAAGGTCCAGAGCTGTGCAACTTAGCTTGCCCCAGGTTGTAGAGCTAACAAATCACAAGAGACTTCTGTGTCCCTACAACACTGTTGGGCACAGACACCAAGCCCTGAGCACAGAGCACACAGAGAGTGCCCAGAGAATGGACATCAGTACTAGGAAGATAGGACCCTGGAAGTGTTTCTCAAGTAACTGAAGAGCCTAGAGAATCATTCCTGGGCTCTTCACCTGGGGCCCCTGACTACACCTGTGAGCAGAGAACCGGTCCTTCTCTAGGCCCTGTGTCGAGCACCTCACCTGGCACTATCCGGTTTCACAGTACAGCTGCATCAAAGCAGAAGGGGCAGGGACGAGGCCCTGCACCCAGCAGCCCCCACTGGACTGCGTGAGCCACACTGCATCAGGGTCAGTGAGAGAAAGTGGACTGCAGGGGTGAGACACCTGCCAGCTCTCCTCTTCACCTCTTCCTCCTTAGGTTGATGGCTTACTTTCTCCTCTTCCCAAAAGAAGCATTTCCTAGCAGCAGGAGGAGGCTCAATTTATTTTTACAGACCAAGCACAAGGATTAGAAAGGCCTGAACAGAACCCAGGGGCAGAGTTATCTTGTCAGAGCCAAAGCAAAGCCCAACAAAGATCCTTTCAGAATGATTAGGCCGTAAAGTCCCAATTTGTCCCTGTGCACACAGGCATGAAATGGAATTTGACAACATGAAGCCAAGCCATGCAGAAATGGAAGTCTTGCTAAGGATTCTGGAGCAGCAAGCAGTGGTCAAGGGATTCGGGACATAAGTACAGGTGCTTCTCCAGGTACCGAAAGAGAGCATCCCGAGCTAGGCAGAATAAAAGCCTAAAAGACATCCAAGCCCCTTCCCAGAACCTGTGACCTCACTGTTGCACAGCAGAGTGGACCAGGGCAGAAACTGCCCAGCTGACCTTACACTGGGAGAGGGTCTTGGCATACCCAGACACCAGGAGAGGGTCTTGGCATACCCAGGCAGAATTATACAACCATGGGGGGGTCCTTAAAGTGAAACTGGAAAACGGCAAGAAGTAGATACACCCCCAGGAGCCCTGCCAACCTCTGGCTCAGGGACACTGCTAACCACAAGAGTCTAAGGAAGGAAGTTTGTATTCATGACTGCAGCACAGGATGCCACACACTAGATGCTAAGAGGCTGACCTGGACTAAGCAGTCATGCCTTGAGCCTTATCACTTAGCAGCAGTGAGCCTGAGGCTGCTCCCAGAGTCCTTCTGGACCCCTGCTCCCTGTCTGCAAAGGCCTCTGTCCAGAGTCACAAGGGGTTAGCATGGAAAGCCTCTGACAGCTACCATGCCTGGAAAGGTTGGTACGCAGCACAAGCACACACGCACACTAACCCAGTGAGTGCCACCGTTGAGCGGGAAGCAGGGATCTCCTCTCTAAAGGTGATCGGGGCTCATCCACTTGGCTTTGAACCCTGCCTCTCCACTTATATGAGATCCAGGACGAGTTCCCTAACTCTCTGAGCCCACTCCCTGCCTCCCAGGTTGCTACTGCAGTGAAGTGAGACCTGGCTGTTAGTGAAGCATCCACCCACCCCAGGAGGGACAATGGCCCCACCACTCCAGCCCTCATCCTCCTGCCCTGGTACTCAGTGAGTGAGGTGGGCTGGGACCTTCCCTCCCTGCCAATCACAAGTTACTGTGTAGGTCCAGGCAGAGGTGTGTGAGCAAGCTCAGCTAACTAGAGAGCTGCAGCAACGCTGGCAGCTGGGAACTGCTCTTGAAACAGCTGGCTTCTGGGAGAAAAACAACAATCTGCAGCGACTGGATAAGAAAACAAAGAAAGACGAGAGAACAAAGAGCCTTTGCTCCTTGGCCAAGAGGCAAGTGGCTTTGCACACCACACGCAACTGCCCCAGGGAGCAGCCAAAGCCACAGGCTGGCAGAGAGTGAAGCGAAAGCACCAAAGGGAGACAGTGGAACCTTCCAAGGGAGCAAGGGAGCAAGGGAGAAAAGGGGAAGGGGGAGGAGGGGAGGAAGACCATGGTGACACAAGCCTGTAAGCCTTGCACTTAGGAAAAGGATCACGAGTTTGGGGCCAACCTAGGCTACATAGCGAGACCCCCCCCCCACCTCAAAAGAACAAAGGTACAAAACAAGGGCAACATGTAATGGCACAAGCCTATAATCCCAGCACGCAGAAGGCAGAGGCCACAGTGCAAGTTCTAGGTCATGGGCCTACATGGTGAGAACCTGTCAAAAGAGAGAGAAGACAACAGAAGGATTTAGAGGATTCCTCTTAGTCATGGGTGTGCAGCCATGAGGGTAGCTGACGGAGCCGTCTGAGGCAGAGTTGAAGTATCAGACTGCCCAGGCGGGAACAGACAGGGCCCCAGACATCTCACCTTCCTCTGCTGCCTCTCAAAGATCAGCACGAGGATCAGGGTCAGGCCGACAGCAGTCAGGGTGGCAAGCAGCACGCCTGCCCACTGGTTGCCCAGGGCAAACATTTGGCTGGTGGAGTAGATGTTGGCCCACACCACCACGTAGAACACCTGTAGAAGGCAGAGGAAGGCATGGAGCTGTCAGGGACAGCAACTCCATTCATGGGTACCCCTGGCCCTCCTTGGGTCAAACAGCCTCCCAAGGGCCAGAAAGAACCCATGCCAACCCTGGGACCTGAGCTCAACTCCCTGCTTCTTAAGTGAATCTTGACAACAGGTTGTAACTGGCAGAAATGAAGATGTTCTAAAGAGACACTTGTGTCTCTCAATCTGATTATCAGGCTATGGAAACTATGGACCCCAAAGAAATGGGAATTCTGCTAGGAATCTCATGTTGGGAAATGGCACCAGCCAGAGAGGGGACTTGTCTCGCAAAAAGAGACTTCATGAGCTGGGCAGTGGTGGCCCACGCCTTTAATCCCAGCACTCGGGAGGCAAAGCCAGGCAGATCTCTGTGAGTTCGAGGTCAGCCTGGTCTACAGAGTAAGATCCAGCACAACAGGCACCAAAACTACATGGAGAAACTCTGTCTCGAAAAAAAAAGAGAGAGAGAGAGAGAGAGAGACTGAGATTTCACACAGTTCACTACAACTTCTCAGACCCTCACAGGATGAGATCAAGGCCCAGATAAAGATGGACCAGTGGTAGGAGGGACCACATCTTGACTAGACTGCTTAGATGTGTGTGGCCTTGGTTATCTACTTCAACTCTGCTCTCCCTTCAGGACCTCTGTTGTGTTTGCTGGCTCTCTTTGTCACTCTTTCCAATGTGGCCACATTGGATAAATCTCCTCTTTCGGCTTTCCACTTTTAATTTGGTTCTTTTAGTTGGCCTATTAAAGATGGGTAGCTGAACCTGACTTGGGGTAAAGTTGGTGACCCCTCAAGTTTGATAACAAGGTCAATCATTCCTAGCCCTCCTGACCCCAATCCTAAATGAAACAAAAAGGGCAGGCACTCTGGAAAGAACTCAGTGTCTAAAACCCACAGTAATCCCTCCCTTGCAGCATGGCTTGGGACAACACATGGTCCTCTCTCAGCCTAGGCTTCCCCTCCTGTGAACTAAGAATAACCATGCCTTCTTCACAGGGCTGCTCCAGGACTAACAAGGTAACACTTCCTAGTCCAGAGCTGTTAAATGCTAGTCCCCTCTCCTCTTTCTCCCCTGAAATGGGAGGCAGGGTCAGCTGGACCATAAACACATACAGAAGCCAGAAATCAGAGTGGTTAAGGTTCAGCGGCAGGACCTAGATAGCCTGGGTTCACACAATCCTTGGCCACGGATGCATGTGTTTCTGTGTGTGGATAATGTAGTCACAGAAATATGTTTGCAAGTATACACATACACAGGTAGGTACATGTATGCATTTGTGTGTGTGCACACTATAAATACAGGAAACACACCTATCTGTGAACAAAAGGAAAACCAAATCCCAGAGAGAAAAGTCTTGGCCAAGGGCAAACACTGAGTCGGAAGCCTGGTGGTTCACAGATTCCCAATTCCAACTCCCATTCCCGACAGACTCTTTCCACACCAGATCCAAGTCTTTGATACTACGCTTGCAAAGGCAAGTGGATTCCTCCTCCCCTTATATACCCAAAGACATACAGCTGCATTTGGTGTGTCTGAGGCCAAGCTGGGAGACAGTATGGGCCTAACCTACTACTTACCACAGCAAAGGCCAGCCGCATAGGCCTGGAGTTGTAGATGATATACCTCCTCACTTGAGGTTCCAAGAGGGCACTCTCAGCCAAGTTCCTGTATTGCTCAGCAGGGACCTATATCACCCAAGATAAAGATGTCATAAGTTACAGGACAGCCAGCTCCCCATCTCCTCCCTGCCAGCAAGCATGACGCTCCCAGTTCACAGGAATGCCCATGGGAGGAGGAGAAAGCAAACTCAAGGCACCTTACAGGGCAGAATGGGAGGCTGGGAGCATAGATTTGGGATCCTAGGGTACAATCTAACTGCAGGAACCTGAGAACCAGGGCATCCTGAAGAGGAACCACACAGCCTGGGTCTCAGTACCTTTCAACAAGCATAGGAAGTCTTGGGAAGGACACAGGCCCTGGGCTAAACTCTGGTCATGTCACTCAAGTGCTGGGTGACTTTGAGCCAAGTGAACCCTTCTCTGAACCTTGGGTTCCTCTTCTCTAAAATGAGGGAGGGGTGGGTGCACTGTAGGGTTGGGTGAATGTTCAGTGAGGTGGTGCACAGGGCACTCAGCAGAGTGAGCGCCACACAATGAGCGCTGGGCACTCAGAGCCAGCCTACCAACGCTGCCATTTGACACTGCACACAATCCCAGGCACTGAGGGCACAGGTCTTCCTGTCCACACCAGAGTGTCTGCAGAGCACACCAGCCCTACAGAAGCAGTGTCACCAAAGGAACTAGCCACTTCAGAATTCCATCCCGACATGGGACATCTCGAGGACTCAGGCGTAAAGGAGCTTCGCAGTAAGAGATGCAAGCCTGATGACCCAAGTTCATGCCCCAGAATCCAGAGAAGGGTAGAAGAAAGAACAGACCCCACAAAGTTGTCCTGACTTCCACACACGCACCCTGGCACGCACATGCATGCACCCGCCCACCTACATACACATGATAACAATCATCATCATAAACACAATTTCTTCAAAGTGGAAAAACAAGTCACCTAAGAACACAGTACAACAGTGTACACACAAACTCTTTCTTAATCTCAAGACGGTGATTTAAGAGAGATCTGGGGTTTGGGGAGATGGCTCAGTGGGCCAATCTGTGGCACAAGCCTGAGGACTTGAGGTTGGATTCCTGGCACCCCTGTTAGATAACTGGGTGCTTTGGGGAAACCCCTGGTAGCCAGTCTAGGTAGATCAGCCAGCTCCATGTTCAGGGACAGACCCTGTGTCAATAAACAAGGTAGAGCGCAAACCAGGAAGACGCATCAACCTCAGGCCTCCGCATGCACATGCATGTACATAGGAACACATACACATGCATACACCACACAAGACAGGACGGAGGGAGGCAAGCAGGGAGTGGGAGAAGAGAGACTAGGAGGGGGAAGTTCTGCGCAAAGGCGGGATGGAAACACGGACAGCAAAAGGCAATCTGTCCAGAGCAGGGGAGGCTCAGTGCTGTCCCCAAAGTCTTCCTTCAACGGCAGCGTGTCAAACTCAGAAAGCGTGGGTGTACCGAGCTGCCCGTGCCCCTGCCTCTGATCAGTCCCTCCTGGCTAGCTAGCCCAGGGAAGACTTCACCTCCAGGGCTCTGGGGAGTGAACCACACACACCATCGTCCTCCACTCCGGCAGGAGGTGCTATGGCTCGCTGAGAGCCTGCTTTGTCCCAGAACATCTGCAAATGCTCCTGGTGTCACACGTGCAATCCTAATGGAAGCCCTACAGACCAGGCATTGACATCACCCTCTCTGGAGGACAAAAGTGAGGCACAGAGAGGTTAGGTCTCCTGCCTGAAGTCACACAGGAAGTTAACAGCAAGCCTGCATCCTTATCTACACAGCGGGTCTGCGAAGCCCAGGCCTGGATTCACTGTCGGAAGGTATCACATCCCCTATGTGGTAAGTTCCATGAACTTTCACAAATGTAGTTCCCTCCCTACAATGCCTCCCTCCCGCCCAGCATTCTTAATTTATCCCTCAACAGCTCTGTCAGGGACTAGACTTCCATGAAGTTTTTGTGACTTTTTGAACAAGGAAGTTCAAAACTTCCTCCTGTGCCCTCAGTGCCTGGTCCTCTACTGTGGCATCCATGCCTGGTGGACCTCGCTTACTGGCCCATGTCTGGCTCCGGCCGGGCAGTGTGAACAGCTTAGCCAGCTCAAGGCCCAGACAGAGCAGCCACCCCCAACACACACATTCTGAGTGAACACAGTGGGAAGTAAGGACACTCCTGATATACGCTCCTATGCACTGACCGCAGCCAGCACAGCTAAAGTGAAGGCAATGTTGGTGAAGAGATCAGTGGTGGCCGGGTGGCTGGAGAGAAGAGCACAGACCCCAGCACTCACCTGAATGCCCCAGGCCTGCAGCTGCTCCTCGACGGCTCCCAGGTCAAAGGAGATGGGTGCACAGGTGTTGTCGATCCGGAGGACGGCGAGCACCTGGCCATTGTGCAGCTCTGCAAACACATCGGCGCATCAGTGGGCCAACCAGAGCACCTCCGGAGGAGTTCAGAACTGAGGGCATCACACCTGGGTCGGGGGTGCCTTCCTGTGATGAGGGACATGGTAGCTGTCCCCAATCCCTAAGGATGTAGCTTGACTGGGAAGCCCCCAGGAGGCAAAACTAAGGCCCGCACTGGCTAACTGTGTAATTCATAATTTCCCAAGACAGAAAGGCATCCCGCAAAGAATGGGTGGTCGTGAGTGCCCTGTCACAAGGCATATGTAAACAGAGGCTGAACAACCAACTACTTTAGGGGCCTGATGAGATAGATGTTAGATCAAGCCCAGCCCCCAGATGGCCACACCTTCACCCCCAGACTATGTTGCCAGGGCAAAGAGGAATGAGCGCTACAGATGGAATGCAGGGCACAGATGAGCTGGCCTTAAGCAGGGACAGCAGCTTGCAGTACCCAGTGAGGCTGAGGGAATCACAATGGCCCTTAAAGAAGGCAGGGCACAGAGCGCTACATCATTGCTGACTTTGACCAGAGGAGGAGGAGGAGCCACAGCTAAGTACTGTGGGTAGCCTGTACCACTGGGAAGGGGGCAGGAAAGGACACAGAGCCTTGTCCAGTGGGCTCCAGAAAGGGCACATCCCTGTACTGTGAGCGCAGGAAAGCCAGGGTCGGGCTTCTGACTGCAGAATTGCAGAGGTATCATGGTGGCTCTCAAGCCTCTGTGTTAAACATCAAGCATCCTCTGCATCCATGTAGAGCCCTCCTCCATCACACTCAAACATTAACCTTGCCCCTCCAATGCCTCATTTGCACACATCACGAATGTGTGTGTGTGTGTGTGTGTGTGTGTGTGTGTGTGTGTGTGTGTCTGCGTGCGCGCGCAATTGTTCAAATTAAGGCCTTCCTTTAGGCCATACTTCCACGCTGGTCTGTTCATCACAGCATGTCCTGAGCTGGCTTTGCATCTTGCATAAATGTTAGACACAAAAAGGAATGAATATGATAGGACTCTGATCCTCAACCCTGATCGTATTCTTTTCTCATACCCTGGGTCAGGAAGGAAGAGCACCTCCAGTCTTAAAGATTCCATCACAGGCCGGGCGTTGGTGGCGCACGCCTTTAATCCCAGCACTCGGGAGGCAGAGGCAGGCGGATCTTTGTGAGTTCGAGGCCAGCCTGGGCTACCAAGTGAGTTCCAGGAAAGGCGCAAAGCTACACAGAGAAACCCTGTCTC